TGAATTTGGAACCATCTGTTTTCCAAAAGTTAACAAAATAAACGATTCCCTTCCTTATCTGGAGGTTTCTACATCGCCAACCTGAGTCAAAACAAAACACTGAGCAGTTTTGTCACACAGGCTGTGTGACCCATAGAAAAACAGATGATTGTTCTTAAAGTTCTTTTTTGTCTTTGAGTCTTTTTAAACACATTTCTTTTTAAGGTCTTCAACATGGAACACTTTTCAATAATAATTTGAAGGAGGAAATTTTCCTTTGCTGCTTACAATTCCCTTACATTTTATGAGTTATCTTAAACACATAATTATCCTTATTTATTTGATAGGAGAAAATGCTTCATGTGCTTTTAAATTGGGACTCATTTACACTTTTTCAAAGTTTATGGGCATTTAAAAGAACCACACCAAGACTTCAAGTTGCTGGCAGAAACAAAATATCCCAAGGCAGTAACAAGGAAAAAACAAGCAAACAACAGAAAAATAAATAAAACCCGAGCAAACAAGAAACAAATTCCTCCAAGAACTGTGAAGTCTAAGTAGCCCTGTCTCAATAAATGTGAATTCTTTCTTTTTCTGTATTTCATAGAAACCATAATTCTATTTCAAAATTGATTAGGATTCATTAGAAAATAAAACACAGAAAAGTTCTATTTTAATATATTTCCCTCCTAAGTGCTTTCCAATTTTTTGTGTCCTCACTTTTATAAAATGTGCTGAACTTTTAAAATAGGAAGTCATAGACAAATATAAGATTAAAAAAGAAGTTTATATTCTGGGGATTTATTCAACTAAGCTAATTTAAGAGAAGAAAAAGTTATATGTCCCCAAATAACTATTCAGCACTTACAAAAGTTTAAAAAAAATCAATGTAACTTATATATCTAAAAATAACGATTAATGATTAACTCACATCTACTGGATTGAATGTTACATGTTGGTGAAAAATGACAGTTATGAAAATTTTGAGGCAGCAATGGGCACTACTTCTGGTAGAACAGCAAGTGAAAAATGAAGATATACAAATAAGATGACAAAATCTCAAACTATTAGCGATGGACAAATATTGGGAAGAAACATTTAAAAATAAAATTAATATTGTAGGACAAGGGAATTGCTGATTTTCTCATATCATATTTCCATTTTGTTAAAAAAGTTGTTTTCTGTCTTTGGGTTTTCTTTTTTCCCTCTCTGAATTTGTATGTCCACATTGAAGGAAAATAGATCAGAATCCCATCTTTAAAATGGAGTCAAGTTTCAGTGTTTCTGGAATCAGAGAATTGAATCCTGTTAACTAGACCAAACACTTCTCCAGGAAAAATGAAGAGGGAGAGAGAGGAAGAGGAGAACAAACAAAACAAAACAAAACAAAACAATCCCAATGATAGTAAATAAGTGGAATAAAATAATAAAAATAAAAATAATGTTATTAAAGAAAATAATTTATCCTGCAGCTCTATTTTTAATTCTTACAAAGTTTGATACTGCACTGATGATTAACCTTTCTCAAAGAAGCTGTGTAGAAAAAAAAAAGGAAAACAAATACAATGTTTATTGGTTGTCTTTAATAACAAAAGAAAAGGACAGAAAAGGGGAATCATAAATTGTGGCATGGCATTCCAAGTTGGCCCATTCCTATCCCTATCCTAGGAATGTGAGTCTTGACAAGAAATAACCCTACCCTCAGGTTAATTTTAGTGCTGGGCTCACTCAGAGGGGAGATGAAGCACCAGTCAACATCATTCGGTGCCCCCCAACCCCAGCCTAAAATAGCCAGATCACTGAGGCAAAACTGATTTGGGGGCTAAAAAGGTCTGCATCTCACCCCAGCTGTCTCCGCTCTCTTGTGTTCTTGCAGCCTCTGACTACACACAGAAGCCCTTGGTGGGGGCAGGGGGGAGGATTAGAATTCACTGAAACATCTGATTTTTAAAAAGAACTAATCAGTTTCAATTTAGCAATAGTTGGTAAATTTTTATTTTCCCAAATGTGTTATTTTCTCCCCTACTGTCATTTTAAAACACGTAAAAGAAACTAAATTCAACTAACATTTAGACTTCTATTGTATTTTTTACATGGAAAAAAAAATCTAAAAGTGAACTGAATTCAATTATTACTTTTACAATTTTTGTTTCCCTTTGAATCTAGGATAGGAAAAGGTGGGCTGCATTTTACAGGAATTTAGAGGTCTGGATGGAAATTTTTGTGGGGTGTAAGTTGCTTTTGTTTTAGGAATAAAGAGATAGAGTAGTAGGCATGTTCCCCAGGGAGAAACCCTGAGAGGTGCTTCTATTAATTCTTAGAGATTTAAATTAAATGAAGGAAACAGCACTTAAAGTTTCTGGGAACTGCAGTGCCCTGCCTAGGACCCTCTTTCTTGTTCCCCAATGTAACAGAAAGGATTTCAGGAGATTGGGGCTCCTTTTTAGGAAGAGGCCAAGGAATACAACAGCCTTTCTGAGACCCATCTTTGAGCCCTTTCAAAAGTCCACACACATCACCAAGAAAGTCCCCGGGCAACAGACACACATTCTGGCAAGATTTTTTTTTTCCCCCTGGACTCTCAATTTTTCTCTGAATTCTCTTTGCCCTGCAGTTTGTATTAGCTGGTTTTTTCATTTTAAAAATGTTTATTGAATGCCTACTATGTGGCAGACACCGTTTCCAGCTCGTTGGTTTGTGTGAAAATTATGGTCAAAGAGCTGACTAAATATTAAGTCAGAAACGGTGGGGGAGGGGGGAGGGCCGGAGGTGTGGGGGGGTAGGATACAGACGTCGCCCACCTTCTTGCCTAGAAAACATTCTTTTTCTACTCAGCAACTAACAGCTCATAGTATTTTCTGTTGCCCCATGCAAAGAAAAAAATCACAAACCCCCAAATCCGACAAACACGTGGCTGGCTAGAACAAAACGCGGATTTGGAGAGTGGGTTTTGAAGGTGGTGGAGATGGAGAAACCGAGTTGGAAGCCCTCCCCCCACGCCCAAAGCCCCATTTCTTTGCAGCGCGCGGGGAAAACCGGGAGGGGGACAAAGGTGCGGCGTGTGGTCTTTTAACTCCCGACTTTTTGAACGGTATAAAATCGTCTGGCAGAAGAGAGGTGCGCCCAAGTCGGGAGTCAGTTCACTGACTCTGCAAATAAAAAATAATAACAAGAAAAAAAAAATCCAAGGCATTCCTATCAGTGCAGCCAACACGTGTTGCGGAGTCGGCCCGGGCCGCAGGCGACTGAGACAATGGGGTCGGGGACGGGGAAAGGGAGAGTGACCCCCTTCCTCACCTGCCCTTGCAGCACGCGTGCCCCCGACAAAATTGTTTCTCCCACCCGCAGAACCCCGAGCAAAACCCGAGCTTCCGCCCAGTTCAGGGAGAGTCTGGCATTACTGGGGGACCACCCCCTCTTTTCCCGGTCCCCGGGCCAGGGGGGCTCCGGGGTCCCCGGGCTGCGCTCTCCGCCACCCTCCAAGCCCCGGCGCCGTCCCAGCCCCCTCCGCTGGAAACTCGTTGCCCTCGCCCGCCACTCGGCCCGGGATCCCGGTTGCGCGTGGACCGCGCGTCCCGCTCTCCGCCGCCTATCCTGTACTCCGAAACGCGCGGCGAACTGCCCCCTCCCCCACCGCCGAGACGGGGTGCGACCGCCCACGTGTCGCCCCTTGCCCAGTCGGGTCCGTCCCTCGGGCTCCCGGGGCCGGAGGATCCGGAGCGAGTTGGTCAAAGGCGAGGAAAGGGACCAGGGCGGATCCGCTTCCCCCTCCCCAGGAACGGGAGGGGGGAGGGGCCGCCGCCCGCCGCCCCCTCCTCGCAGCTCCCGCCCCTCGCTTCCCCGAGCGCCGAGCGGAAATTACCCCCTCCCCCCGCGGGTCTGACCTGGGGACGTGGGCGGGGCTTCAGCCCTCGGCCCCCCGCCCCCGGCCCCTCTCCCGCCTTCCCGCCAGGATCCGAACGCTGCACCCCAAACAAAGTTCCGAGACCCGAACCCGGCGCTGGGAAAGCTGCGGTCGCCGGCCTGGGTGGGGCGGGCGGAGGGGACTCCACCTGTCTGCCCCCCGCGTCAGGGAGGGAGGAGGGGAGCGTTCGGATCTCCACCCGGTCACTCCCTCCCTGAGACCTCCCCCTTCGGTTCGCTCGGGTCTGCTCACGCTACCACTCCTCTTCCTCCTCTCCACCCCTCCCTCTCTCCTGGGGTCAGCTTGGGCCGGAGCCGCGCGTTCCCCCCTGGACCCCGAGACGGTCTCGTTCGGCAGCCGAAGCCGGGTGCGAGGCACCCTTCTCGCGTGGGAATCCCGAAACATGATTTCCTGCGGACCCCTCGTTCCCAGCCGCGGTCCCCCGTGTTCCTAGCTTCCCGGTCCCGCGCTCGCAGGGTCCCTGGGTCCTGGATTGCCCGGAGGCGGAGGAGTCTCCTAGGGCTACGGCCGGGAAGGCCGAGACCCCTCACTTAAAAATCTAGGGGAAAAGCGCCTTTCTTTTAAAATCACCGGCTCGCGCGACCCCCGCCTGAAGACCCCAGAGTCCTCAGCTTCTCTTTGTCTATCTCGGCCGTCCCCCGCCTGTCAGACGCTAGCAGTTAACCGGGGTAGGGTGGGCAAACTCTCCCCCCAGCCACCGCACGAATAAAAAATAACCGTACGTTTTACCCATAAAGAGGTGGGAGATTCTGGGCCCGACCACCCTCCCCCAGCCGGGGCCGGGGTAGGGGGATGGGTGGGGGCGGGGCGCCTCCCTTGGGGCCAGATTCTTGCCAAGGGGGAGGGGGCAAGTAGAGCTTCGGGAACGCAGCCCCCACCCTCCTGTTTCCCCCGGGGGGGTGAGCTGAATGCCCCCCCCAGGCCTGGAGATTGGTGGGCTGGGCCGGGCTGGAGGGCCGATGGGCCCAGAGGCTTCGGGGGTCTTCCCGAGAAGGGTGGGTGGGGGCTTTCACCACGTGGCTTCGCCTTTTTTTTTTTTCCGCTCCATTTTTTTTCAAGTCGATTTTATTTAGAGGCGGCGCCAGGGCGGCCGCGGAGAAACGTGACACACCAGCCCGCTTGGAGGGGTTTCGGACAGAAGGGAAAGGAGCAGCTCCGCGTCGTCCGCCTCCCAGCGCGCCGCGGGCACTTCTCCCCGGCCTCCCCGAACTCTCCCGCGACCTCTGCGCGCCCTCAGGCCGCCCTCCCCGCCGCGGGCTCCGGACAACTTCAGGGGTGGGGTGCAAAGAAAGTTTGCGGCTGCTGCCGCCGGCCTCCCGCCTCTCGGCCTAGGAGGCTCGCCGCCCGCGCCCGCCCGCTCGGCCTTGCCAGGGACCGCGTCCCGCCCGGAGACCGCCACCATGAACAAGCTGTACATCGGCAACCTCAACGAGAGCGTGACCCCCGCGGACTTGGAGAAAGTGTTTGCGGAGCACAAGATCTCCTACAGCGGCCAGTTCTTGGTCAAGTCCGGCTATGCCTTCGTGGACTGCCCCGACGAGCACTGGGCGATGAAAGCCATCGAAACTTTCTCCGGTAAGAGTGCGCCCACCTCCCCGGAAAAGCCACAACGAAATCCCCCCAACAACGGAGACCTGCTCCTCTTCTCTCCTTGCCCGCCAACTCCCCTCTTGCTCCGGCCTGCGGGGCTTGGCCTCGGCATCGACCCTCCGCCCACCTACTTCGACGCCCCCTCCATCCCCCCACTCGCCCCTCGCGCGGAAATATCCTGGATCCCCTCACCCCTTCCTCCCAGCCCCAGAGCAGAAGCTGGAGGCTTTAGTAAGGCCGCCCCTACCCCCCGCCGACGGGGCGGGGGCCCTATTGGCAGTGTGTGGGGGGGGTCCCCACTCAGGCAGCTCCCGTCTGGGCCTTATTTCCATGCCCGCCCCTCCCTATTCGAGGCTGGACCCCCTCCGCCCCCCCTCCCCAGCCCCGCAGCGCGAACACCCCCAGCTCCCTTTTCTCCACCCTAGGCCTTTCCAGGCGGGGAAGAGGTCCCCGCTCCGTCCCCGATCTCCCGGGTGCCCAGTGGGCACGGCAGCCTTCGGGCAGGGCCGGAGAGGAAGGGGGTCCCGCCTCCCGCCCAGGGCCTGGGCTTGAGCCATTTTGATTTGAAAGTGGGGCGTGAGCGGGGTGGCGCGGCGGCGGCGGCGGCGCCGGGTCGCCATGCTGCTTCCCGAGACGCCCAGGCTGGGCCGAGAGGCGCGCGCCGCGGCCGCGGGGAACCCTGCCCGCGGGGCCCCGCTCGGCTCCCCCAGGGCCTCTGCTCGCCCCCGGCCCCGACAGGTGAGCGCCCCGCCGCCCGGAGCCCTGCTCCGCGCCTCGACCGAAAACTAAAGTTTCATTCTGCACCCCTCCCCCGCAACACACTTTGGGAGCAACGGGGAGCCCTTTCTCTCCCGGCCCCAGCTCCCCAGCTCTGGGAGCCGAGTAGGCAAGCCCGCCCACACAAACGCCCTGGTCGCCCCATTCCCAGATCGGGCTCCCAGAGCGATCCACTACCCAACTAGCCTCAGAACAGAACAAAACGAAAATTAACAAAACACAATAACGAATTTATAGATTCCACCATTCCCAGAGCGACCGTTTCGCGTCTGGCCACGGAACCCACTGCCTGGATTCCTAGGCAGATCTCAGATCCCAGTAACTCCTGAATTATCCTCTACGTCCTTTTCCCACCCCACACCCCTGTTGCAGCTCTTATATTGCCTTTTTTTTTTTTTTTTAAATCTTTAGGGAAAGTCGAATTGCAAGGAAAACGTCTAGAGATTGAACACTCAGTCCCCAAAAAACAAAGGTAGGAAAGGGCTCTTTGAGCAGGGAGGCAACCTGGGGGCGCTTAGAGGCTGTGTTAAGGGGTCCATAGTGTCTTCAGTGGAAGAAACCCATTACGGGCCTTCCCACCCCCCACTCCGGATGTTGGGGGCAGGGAGGGAAGATTGGCTAAGATCTTGTAATGGGTGGTTTACAGCTTGTAAAAAATAAGCCGGGGCTGGGGTGGGCTGAGAGATGGTATTTGGAGAAGTAAAAGGGAAAAAATCAATAGGAGAGGAACCTTGTGGATTTATTCAAGGTGTGCGTGGGGCCATTTTTGTGAGGAAGCTAAAAATCTTTGAAGAGTTCCAACTCCTGGACATCTCTGCAACTTCCAGCAGGCCTCCCTTTTCTCTTTTATTCCCCCCACCCATCCCATAATTCTTAAGTGGATTGGGGGGGCTCCCCTTCGACATCCAAGGGGAAGTGGAATGAGTTCCTGTCCCCAAAAGAATTCCCTTTTGCTTGTGCTTTATGTATATTTCTGCAACAGGCAAGGGCGTTTTTTTTCCAGACACCTACCCCTAGTCCCTCACATCACACGTCCTCCCCTCCCAACTGGATTTTGCAAAGAATATGCTTTGGCTGTGCTATCCTTTCCGAGCCCCCCCACCCCCACTCCTTCAGTCCATTGTTACAAGGGGACCATCTGGGGTGAGAGCTTTGTGTTCAGGCTGTGAGCTGGGGCTCTTTGGAGGGTCTAGAACTCCCTGGATGAATAGTGAGAGAGAGAGAGTGTGAGTGAGAGAGAGTATGTGTGTGTGTGTGTGTGTGTGTGTCCCAATACCTTTCTATTCTCATTTAAGCAAAGTGGGGTACCTCTATCATGTTATCCCCAAATCTGATTCATGGTGGATTTCAGATCTTTCATTGAACCCTGGGCTGCAAAGTATAGGGGCAGAGTCTGTCTGCTTTCTCACTTAAAACATGTTGACAGTGCAGAATTTTCCCTCATGTTGCAGCCCCCAGGAAATCTTTGATCCTCTTGTTACCCCCTCCCCTCCCTAGGTGTGTTCTCCCCCTTATTTCAACTGGAAACTTGCTGCATTTAGAATAATCCTGGCCTTTCGTGGGTGGGAAGGTGGAGGTGGGTGGCTCTGTATAGTTTTTGTTTTGTTTTGTTTTGTTTTTGAGCCTGTGAAGTTTAACTGTAAAGTTTAAGTGAGATAAAAATCTGTTCAGTGGGTTTAGCTTAAGATATTTTAAGTAACTTAGAACTATTGTATCTATAGATGATCAATATGGCTTGTAACTATGTTTATAGAGCCTGTGATTTAACCTCAAGTGCTTCAAATACTCTTATTGGAAAGGCAATTAGAGTTAGGAGTAAAGAGGCAATAAAATCAGAAGGAAGAAAAAAAAGTCTTATTTATTATTTTGAAACATTTCCTGGAGATGGGCCTGAGAGAAAGATACTGACACCAGTAGATTTATTGAGAAGATTGTGGATATTTGACCTGAAAGCTGAGTGTTTGAAACATGTTGATGAGAAATGTCCAGAATAATTGGAATTCTGACCTACGTGGGATTTTTTTTCCTTTTGCTCTTATGGATGGTTTAAATTTTAAAGGGAATGAAGTGAAAGCAAGAGAAATAGCAAAATGTGATGAGAGGGGACCCAAAACATTTATATTTTAATTTCCATGGTGCTCTGTATTTATGGATCTTTCCCCCTAAGCCATCTGCTTGCTTTCAAGCCATTTTTAGGCTCCTTCTTGTTCCCTCCAAAATGCATTACTTAGGGCGCTTTTGAGTTGGGAAGGGGTGGGGTTTGTGAGAAGAGTGGGTACAAAATCTTCCTTTCCACATCCATATTAAATTCCATCTTTTGTGTGTTCTCCCCTTCCCTGAAATAATTTTTTGAGCACAAACAGTTTGTGTGTGTGTGTGTGTGTGTGTGTTTGTGTTTGTGGGGTGGTTGAGAAGGCACTTCATTTTTCTAGAATGAATCAATTTTTGAAGTTTCAGGATTTAAAAAAAGAGTTTGTTTTCATGAATTAAGTTTGCTCTATCATTTTGTGTTCTTTGAAGGAAGCATTTTGTGGTATGTGTTTTTAGTCTGTCTGAAAACTATTCAGTTGGTCTGTTACTGGTTTTTTCTATCTCATGGATGTATAGAACAGGAACTAGTTAATTAAATATGACTAATATATTTTAAGCAAAATGAATGACTGTGCATGTGTATTTTGTATGTATATACTCTTGTTTCCACTGTTTAAAAAAATAGAAAAGAAGTAACTTCCTGATGCACTCAGTTCCAAATGAGTTATGACTTTAAACATTTCTAAGAGATTCATAAAAATCTAACAACCTAAGTGTTCCTGGTTTTTGTTTGGTGGTTTTTTGTTTCTTAGAGGGGGGAATCAAAAAAGTAATATTACAGCAGTTACCTTAGCATCCTCTGATTTTTGAAGTATTAATTTTGTTCTAACTTTGTATCTATTTGATAGATATACTATTTGTACCTTTTTAAGAACCCAAGAGACTGAGCACTATGCATTTAAACTGAAAACATTAATTCGAAATTTTAAAATGGATGATATTAAATTTCTTCCACCTTCCCAAACCCTTTCTTAGTGTTGGAATTTTGGCTAACAGTTTTGGCTTTTTGTTGAGAATTTGTGTATATTCACTGTCAAATATTAGGACAAAGGAGAAAAGCCTAAAGCATTTTTAAAACAGTTGTGGAAGGGGTTTGTATGTGTGTTTTATTTTGAGAGACATAAGAGTAGTTAAGGTAAGGGGGGGGTCCCATTTTAGACTTGTTTATTTTGAGAATTGACTTGCTTTTTAAAGGAATTAAGCTTGTGTTTCATTTGCCACTGTGTGTGCCTTTTTCTAGAGGAATGTGACCTAAAGATAGCATACCTACTGTCAACTGCTGTCATCAAAATAAAAGGTGTTGCTGTTAAGAAAAAAATGCAAGAGATGTACTGCATTTCTCTGCATGAAATGTGTCCGACTTAAAAGACTGATTTTCTTAGGCAGGTTAATGGTTGTTCTTTTCTCTAAGCTGACTTAAAATGAGGTGGGCTAAACACTTTACCTTGATTTTCCAAGCATTAAAAAAAAAAAAAAGAAATTGGTGTCAGAGCCATAGAAGTGTGAGAACTCTCAGAAAGTGCTTAAACTTTATTCAGATTTTACAGTTTGATTTCCTAAAGTTAGCAGTTTTGAAAATCTGTGTGAAGGGATGTCTTGTAAGTGGCAAAAATAGTATTTTTAATTTTAAGTGATTTGCTCTGAAGTAATTGGATCACTAAACGTTTTCAAAACAAGCAAAAAGATTTTGCCTTCAGAAATGGACTTGTCTTTAATGAAAATTGTTCTGAGGGGCTGAAAATGAATTATAATAAGGGGGTTAAGAAGCAAGGGAATGTCTTAAAAAAACAACAAAGGAGTAAAAAGTACTAGAGTGGGAGGATTTTCAGGCACTTTTACTTCAGTGGTTGTAGTTGAAAGATACATCTGACCTGTATTCACCCAGTAAGATTAAAGTAGAAACAGTTTATGACACTTTCAGTAAAAGGTTTTCTTAGTAATAATAGGTTAGTTTTTTTGCTTTTAAATAAATTTAAAAATGGTTGATTCTTAATTTTTCTGCACTGTTTGGAGGGAAAGTGGAAATCAGTTCACTCAACATTTTAGTTTCCACCTAGAAAGTAGATCTTACAAATTCATTGTTTTCTTCACTGCTAGAGAATCTGTTATCATTTAGTGCACAGTATTTCAAGATGCTTTCCTAAAGGACAGTGGTATTTGTCCATTGGGAGAGTGGTAGGTTCCTAGAACCCTTTATTTTCTGACCGCCAGTAGAAAGATGAAATTTTACTCTAATGCTTTCTCAGATGGAGAACCTTGGGGGAAAGAAGGGGAAGAATTGTAATTCCCATCACTAATTTATTCAAAGTATAGTTAACTGCTCCAAATGTAAAGTTTTTTTTTTTTTTTAAGATTTTATTTATTTGAGAGAGAGAGAATGAGAGAGAGCACATGAGAGGAGGGAGGGTCAGAGGGAGAAGCAGACTCCCTGCAGAGCAGGGAGCCCGTCGCGGGACTCGATCCCGGGACTCCAGGATCATGACCTGAGCCGAAGGCAGTCGCTTAACCAACTGAGCCACCCAGGTGCCCCCCAAATGTAAAGTTTTAATGGCACAGCTTTTGGTGGAAAAGGAGCAAAACATTATTATAATTATGTTTTAGAGATGAAGTACATGACATTAGCCGTTGGAAGAATCTTGATTCAAGGGTTCTGAGCTTCTAATCTTTTTAAATTACCTTAATACAGGTCATTTGCATCTTGTTTATGTGTTTGGGTACTTTTAAGGCTTATTTTTTAAGGGTTTATTCTAAACTTTAATGTGTAACAGCCAGTTGACAAAGATACTACTGAGATAGGCTAGTAGTATATAATTTTAAATTATTTTTAAAAATTTCAGATCTGGTTTAGTTGAGTGAAAAGGGGGGAGACCAAGTGGTGTGTGAAATTTGGGGATCTTTTTGTTGAGGATAGACATTGGTTATATCTCTGTTGGTTTGTGGTGGTGGTGGTGGTGGTGGTGGTGGTGGTGGTGGTGGTGTCATTAGAATAAATGTATGAACCAAAGACGTTGGAAGAACAGACATTTTGTCGGCTGTTAGGATTTGAATTCCGTCTTGTTCGCTCCCCATCCTCTTTAAAGGTTCTTAAAATGTGGCTAATGCCTTCCAGAAAGTGCAGCTTAGAATTTGGGATGGGAGTGTTAGGGAGAGAAAAGAGGAAGAAAAAAAGCAGCAGGGGAGACTGGAGAAATCAGACGAGTTAGTCCTGGGTTGGAAATTCCAGACGGGGAAGACAGAGAGAGAGAGAGAGAGAGAGAGAGAGAGAGAGAGAGATGGGGGTTGGGTGGAGTTCCCGCTTCCTTTTAAAGAGAAGCGGCTGGAGGCGCACAGCGACCCACGGGAGAGGGGGTCGCAGACAGCAGCTTTGGAAGACGGGTGGGA